AACACTTGCAGAAAGAGATGGTAGTTAATGATAAAGGGTACGAAAGAGAGAGAGGAATAGACGCATCCACCCTACAATAACTAGAAGAGTCATGAACTCCAAGAGACACTACTATAGAATCCAATAGACTTTACAGAATGTTACAAGTAGCTTTTGGAACACGAAATAGGGGGGGGGGTGGGTGTTACTGGCGGAGGTACCGGGGATCTTGATGGAGGAGGAAGGGGGGGGGAATGTGATCCTCCATGGGCGACAGCATGGGATTTCCTGGCAGGAGGGGGTGGTGGAGGCGGTCCTCTTTTGGAAGCTGTTGAATTTCCAGTGACTTGAGGACTCAAAGACCCATTTCTTGACATTGACGGCGGTCCAGGCGGCGGCGGCGGAGGTGGTGGAGCCTTACCCCGCCTATTCACCCCAACCTTCGGTGAACTCGGTGACTCCATCTCATGCACCGCACCACTTCCGTTCGTATAGCCAGCCCGCTCCTGTTCCCGTTTCCTATTCTTTTCCTTCTCGTCTATATAGCTCTTTATGAAATCCTCATTCTCCCTGAGCACATCCTCAGTGATTCCCATTACCATCAATTCCCTGAGAAGCTCTTGGAATTCCGGATCGGGATTATCTAGTGAATAGCGGCCACTTGCCGCACCATTCGTGTTTGGGGAAGTCCTATTATTCGAGGGTGGTGGTGGTGGTGGTGAAACTGGAGGTGGGGCAGTTGGTGTTGGGGCAGGAGCCGAATGGTGCTGAAGTATGTGAGGAACCGGTATACCAAGGTGACCACCGGAACCTGAAAACGAGCGATGACCTTTCGACTTTGCATGCTTATCTCTGGCCTCAACCTTCTTGAGAAATCCAGCAGCTTCCTTCTCATCGGCAAATGAGAAACCAGCCATGCATTCTTCAAGTTCGAATGAGTGGAAAAAGGTTCTGTCCTGATTGTACCTGAACCCTTCGTAGAGCTCCTGATCCCATATCACACCCCTATTACTCTGTTTTTTTTTCGTGAAAAGTCAGCTTCGCATTGAGGTTAAAGGGATCAATAATAAGCTTCCGACGTACGGTGACATCGACAATCTTGAAAAAAAAGGTATGCCCGACCAGGTCCTCGGCCAGGACCACAGCACCACTTATACCAGTAAAAGTCCATTTACGTTGGTCCGGGTAGTTGACATAGAGTCTTGCGACGGCGACTGTGATGATGTTATTCGAGGGACTTGGAACGGCACGTTTGACGACAACCTTGTCATCCTTGTTGAGTATGGAAGGCATGTCAATAATGGGGTTTGTCAAGCGACCACAACGAGGGCCGAAGTTGGTCCAAAGTGGTGGTAAGTTAGAGCGGACTTAAAGTTAATACTCCTTACCGTTGGATAATGCAGCGGGTTGTTGTTGTTGTCGTGGCGAAGAGATACGTACAGTATATATTTCTTCTCGATGATTGGAAAAGGGAAAGGAGCGAGTGACGACGGGTAAGGAGAGAGAGAGAAGAATAAGGGAAGCAGTCGTTCGGAGGAGGGGGGGGGTGGCGGTTACTGCCGTACATGGAGAGAGGGAGAGGGAGGGGGAGAGAGGGAGGGGGAGAGAAAGTGCAAGTACGAGTATGATACCGGTATGACACTGTATACCGTAGAGTACAATAAGTTACGCAGCTCTATAGAAAAAGGTGACGACTAGTCTAAGCACTGTTATCATGGCAAAGGGCAGGAGCCTAGCTGAGCCCAGAGCCTGTCACCTGCGGCTGAGTCGGGAATTCCCCCAAATTCCACCAAAGTCCAAGGTATTCTCCATGAAAAAAGAATGGTAAAGGCTGTGGAGGGTATACAATACTATTGTTCCAATTCATGCATTTCTTGCATGTTAAAAAAAAAAAAATACCCGACAAGACCAGGAAAATTTGCCAAGTATTAGTCAATAACTTGCTCGAGCACGGTACATGGGCTCTATTTGAAGGCGAAGCACAGAATCCCATACCCCTCCCTCTTTTGTATCATACAGTGCCTTACAACACCGTAAAGACTAGAATAATCGACGGGAGGCTGGAGCCACTCCCCCAGTAAAGCCCATTGTGTTCCTCTTTTCTCTTGTCCCAACCAAAGGCTGAAGAGGACCTCCCCGTTGGGTTTTGCCCACCCACGATAATCCAAAGGGAGCGGAAATTCTGGACGTCCCAGCCCCGTCCCCAATTGCTCCGGTTCGGTGCTTGGGGGCCCTATCTGTAGTTCACGACATCGCTACTGTATTGACCCTCTATGAGTTGAAGAGAATGCAGTTCATACATAGCCACACGCAAAGGTTCATACAGCACTCGAGTATGATATCGGCTCGGAGGGTATTTTGCCCATAGCGACTACAGTAATCACAGCACGAACTCGGAATTTGGGTCGGAAACGAATGCTCTTCCATGAGCCGAGACGCTCTTCCGCTTTGGGCTCTGACACGAGAGAAAGAAAGAAATCTGGGGTTGTTCAGTTGTTACAGCTGTCATTAACTTGCGTCGTGGACATCACTCGAAAAATAATAAAATATGCTGTTGTTGAAGTGGATGAATAGCATTATGATACTTTGCCGGTGTTAGCATGCCAGTCCCCATCTATCCATTTTGACCCCCCATGGTGATAGCATTGCTCCGTCGTAACTTTCACTCCGGCCGGCGTTCCACGAATATATATCAGACAAGTGAATAAGCAAACGAAATAGATAAGCTGGCTTTTCGCAAAGAAACCCCTAACCCACCAAACCAAAGGGAAAAACGCGAATATCAACAAAAGGACAAATACTATTTCCGACTGTCCAGCCATTCCAGTCTGATACCCACAGCTCTTCTATGAGCTTCCAACTCTTCCACCTTTGCCAACTGCATCACCGCACCGCCAACGTTTCTCAAACCTTGCTCTGTCAATTCCGAGCTCGTTAGGTGCTTAACGTAGGTTGAGAGGTTGACGCCACTGTATTGTCTTGCGTAGCCGTATGTTGCTGGCACTCAAGTTAGCTTAAGTCACTAGCATGGTAGGGGGGGGGGGTAATTATACGTAAGGAGTGATTAACACCAGCGCTATAATCACCAACAGACTCTGGAGTCCAGTGCCCGATAAACACACTTCCGGCATGTTGCACCAAGTCAACTGCTTTTGCAGCATCCTTGATCTGGAGAATCAGGTGCTCAGGAGCATATTGATTGCTAAGTTCAATCGCCTCCTCGATATTATCTGTTTGAAGAGTGACTGAGTGGCTAATTGAGCCGCGAACAATGTCTACCCTAGGGAGTGCTAGAGCTTGCTTTTCCAATTCTTCCTCGATAGCGACAAGCTGTTCCTCGGTTAACCCGACGGTTATCAGGATAACCTGGGAATCAACACCGTGCTCAGCTTGCGAGAGTAGATCTGAAGCGACGAATGCCGGGTTGGCCTCTGCGTCTGCAACGACAAGGACCTCGGATGGTCCGGCAGGCATGTCAATACTGACACCTGCACCCGTGTCGTTGCTCACAAACATCTTCCCAGCAGTAACAAATTGGTTACCGGGGCCGAGGATCTTGTCGACTTTGGGAACTGTTTCTGTTCCGTACGCGAGCGCTGCCACGGCCTGAGCACCCCCTGCAAGGACGATAGCTTCTGCACCAACCTTGTGGGCCACATAGACGATTTCCGGAGTCAAACTTCCATCTTTTCTTGGCGGTGATGTGAAAATTATCTTCTTGCAACCTGCGACCAGCGCCGGAACACCGAGCATCAATGCTGTAGAAGGAAGCACAGCTGTGCCTCCTGGGATGTAAAGACCCACACGCTCAATAGGACGGACAAAACGGGAACACCTGACTCCTGGCATAGTTTCGACAACCAGAGTGCCTGCTTCCTTCTGACCTTCGTGAAACTTTCTGATGTTCTCAAAGGAGAGGTCTATAGCGTCAATTGTCTCCTGAGGAAGTTGCATGAGTTCAGGCGGGAATGGTGCGCTCAACACTGCTGATTTCAGACCAACAGCCTTGTCAAACTTTTCAGCGTACTCAATCAATGCAACGTCTCCTCTCTGCTTGACAGACTCGATGATGGGAGTGACTATCCCCATGATATCGCTAGCTTTCTGTGCGGGCCGTTGGAGGACCTCCTTGAGTTCTTTGGGTGTAGAAGTTTTCAAGTTGAATCTTGCCATCTTTATTCTTTCATCGGTCTTTACGCCAGGTTGCTCCGTTGTAGGCTTGATAGTCCCAGGGACGAGTTTAACACCCTCATTCTCAATCATCCCAGAGGGGGGTTGGGTGGCATCTTTGACAGCCCATTTCTCTTTAGCATCGCCCTTCCTTCTAGTGACCTTTAGGCTCTTAAAATCGAGGTTTCTCCCGATATCTTGGAAGCTAACACCTGCCCCTATGCATTTGGTAAGCGCAAAGTAGATAAGGTCTGCTGCCTCGAAAGCAATCCCCTCCTTAGTCTTTGCTTGGCAGAGCTCCTCAGCCTCTTCCATAATCTTTGCTCGAAGAAGCTTCTCATCCGAGAAGAGACGGGCAGTGTATGATCCAGTGGGTGCAGACTCCTTTCTTGAAGTCAAAGTCTTTTGTAGATGGAAAAGCCCTCTGTATTCACCAAAGCAGGTAGCAGTCTCGAGGTGACAGAACCCTGGGGGTCAAATCAGCTAAAGCCTAGCTCAACACGTCAGTAGCAATAACCCACCTTTGCCCTTCTGCCTCACGACGAACCTCAAACAGTCACCATCACAATCTAGGTCAATTCTCACAAGCTCTTGCACAGCTCCACTAGTAGTACCCTTATACCACAACCCCCTCTTCCTGCTCTGGTAAACCCCTGCTCCGGTCTTCAAACTCTCCTTGACACTCTCAGGGGAAGAGTACACCAGCCCAAGGGCAATCCCAGCTTCATCCGTAACTATCGTAGAAATAAGCTTATCCTGGCGATCCGAGCAGACGGCCGCGAGGATGATATCTCCAATGGATAACTTTGACGGCTCCTTCTCCAAATCAACCGTCAATTCCTCAGCAGCGACAATTGGAGTAGCGACGAGTTTCCCAATAGCCTCCACGTCTCCCAGCGAGGGCGTGTACCCGAACGAGACAAAAACCGGAGGTCTATCATTGGACCCATACTCGTTTAGCCAACCAGTGACAAAATCCAAGTCGGTAATATTATGTGCATAGAGACCAACAAAGGTATCCGAAATAGCCTCAGCAGCCTTCCCATCACCCCGAGAAGAAGTGTCGATTAACAGGGCTAAGCGTGAGTCATCAACCTCGGGCTGTAAAGCTCGCAATTGATCGTACGTAACAAATACCCTCGACGCACCGGCATTGAGCAGCGAGCGGACATCTTTCGTAGAAGGGAGCGCAACGACATTGACTGAGAATGTGAAACGGTGGAAGTTCTTGGGCATAAACGTCAAGGCCTCATCTAGGTTCTCCGGAGTGACTGTTATCAAGACGTGACCGGCGAATGACAGCGCGGGGGTGAGCTCGGACTCCGACAGAGAATTGAGTGAAGCAACCAACGGGACAGACATTCTCGCTGAGACTGGAAGGCCGATTGTGAAAAGCTGCGCGCAGGATTCGCTATTGTTACTCGAGGGTGGTTTGCCAACCAATGGTGGGGTAAGCAGGCATAATGGTGGGGCACCGTCATAAGGACATAAATTACCCGTCGTCGGCGGAATCAGCATACTATACCACCACCAATTGCCCCTTGTTCCTAACTCCCAAGCTCTCTCGAACCCCATAAACTCGCGCTGGCTCTCCAGTACCCTTTTCTAAATTCCTAACCCCAACACGAGTGGGCAACGAAATGGCTGAACCTAACGGGGTCACGGCGGACGTGGACGCACCTCCAAATCCTCAACAATCCGTAAGTAACGAAACCTCAGCTTCACAACCTCCAAACTCCCAAGGAGAGACAAAATCCTCGGACAACACAAACGGCAACATGGAGGCTCCTGGGTCAAAAAAGCCTCGGGATGCGCGCATCATTCATCTGATTCTTTCCTCCCTGGGCGTAACCTCCTACCAAGAACGGGTCCCACTAATGCTCATGGACTTCGCGTACCGTTAGTAGCAATTTTGATTTCCTATTTCAATTATAATTAGTATTATTACTATTCTTCTAGGTTCACTGACGTTCGCTATTGTGTTCCTATTGGATTGGCACAGGCTACACCTCCTCTGTCCTTCAAGATGCGCTTCTATTCTCCGATGCGATCAATGGCACGGCTAACACTGGCGGCACCAATCCCCCCGCTACGATCACAATCCAAGATCTTCGTATGTCGGTCGCTTCTCGCATAAACCATCAGTTCAACACTTCGCTGCCAAAGGAGTTCCTGCTAGAGATTGCTCAGGAACGGAATAAGGTTGCGCTGCCTACTGTCGGCAAGGAATTCGGTGTTAGACTTCCGCCCGAGAAGTACTGTCTCACTGGCATCAATTGGGATTTATCTGAGACCCGCGAGGAATGGATGGATGAGTCGGATGAGGAACCCGAGCCGGAGATCCCTCGCCCTGCGTTTTCCGGCGGTGCGGTGGTCGATGGGCCCGGAGAGGGAATGGAATTGGATGATGTGTTTGGCGCTGGTGGACAGGATGGTGACGCTGGGGATAGTCTTATGATGGATGCTTGAAGTCCGGGGGAGAGGGGAGGGATATATACTCGATACATTTCGACGATCCGGGTTTGTTTGTTATACATAGGACGGCGTTTCAGGGACATTTCCTTACTGTAGCCCGATTAGTTTTTACTCGAGAATAAATGGAATAACGACCACCACTCCAAAACGTAATCTACACCCCTCTGAAGAAACAAATGTGTACCATACCAGTTGCATAGCCAACACTACACTCCCCACCCCCTCTGACCACTTCTAATATACACCCCTCCAAATACACACAATTACACAAATTCAAGAAAAGAAGAGAACGCCAATTCCCAATTACCTCCCATTCTAAAGCTCAGCAGCATTCCCCCCTCCGTGCGAACATGCCCATGCGCCCTTAACCCCCACCCCTCCTCTCTATCCTCTTCCGAAACCACTCCTCCCGCGCAAAATCACGATTCTCCTGCGTAGCGTGGGAAATCATACAACTATTCATCCTCTCACGCTCAGCGCGACACGCCCACGCAGCAGACACAGTGCGATTCTTAGCGCATTCCGCGAATTCTGGCCGAAGTTAGTTGGAGTAGTAAGGAAGGGAGGAAGGAAGGAAGGGTAAAAAACGTTTTATTTCTTCCGCGCAGAGGCTGCGGACGCGGGCGTAGTAGAGGTCTCGTATTTGGCCTTCTTGGTAGGCGGAGAGGGGGCGGGGGTTTTTGGGGGCGGCGGGGGTGGGGATGGGTTGGGTTGCTGTGGTCATTTTAGGTGGGAGGGGGGGAGGGTTGGTTTTTTTTGTTTGTCTGTGTTTTTGGGAGGTGGGTGGGTTGTGATGATGTGGGGTGTATTTCGGTGGGAGATGAGAAGGTGGTTATTCCGTCGTCATGGAATATCAGACGATTTCTCTTGTGGCTAGTGGGGGTGGTGGGGCTGTTCGCTGCAATGAACATAACTTTTTCGATGGTCATGTGATTTTTTGGTCGGCCATGCTCGCGCCCATCGACGGAATATGAAGATCGAGAAGACCCCCCACCATAAGCACATAGCTATTTAGGCTTAATTTCTGAGGCTTGCATTGTTCTGAATCAACTTATTCTAGTTCCGAAGAGTTTGGGAGATGTGCTTTTCATGGGTTGTCACTCGAACGTATGATACGTATATGTTCGGAGACCTTTTCTCACTTGTGCTAGACTCAAGTAATAGAGCAATAGATTCCCTGGATTATACAGCAATTGAAGATAGGCAGGTAGACTAAAGGCACCGGCGCCACCGCTTGCCTCACTAACTTACAGTGCGATTTGCTCTCCACCATCATCACCATCACCATCGCCGCTACTCCTACTCCCAATTGTTTATACCAAAGAAAGATACGGGAAATATTTATTCCAAAAGAAAACCCATCCCTAGAGAAGTCTTTGAATGGAAAGAATGAAAATAAGTGAGCAAAGAAAAACTGGAAAGATAGTCCAAGGGAATTCGTAACCTGCCTCTCAATCCACATCCATCCCATCACCCCTAGAGACAGTTTGTTTTCTCTTCGCAACCTTGACAGGGATCTTAATCTTGACCATCTCCTTCTCCTCGGCTTCAGCCTCTGAGTCATCGAGAACCATGCTCTCCTCCGTCTCAGCTTCTGCAGCGGCCTCAGTAGCAGTCCTCATCTCCTTCGGCAGTAAGTGCTGGTTCTCCTCTACAAGCTTCCTGTTCGCTTCGCGCTCTCGCTGTTTGTTGCCCGCCATGCGGTTCTTGTAGAAGGCCCTCTCGCGCCGGGCCTTTATTTCCTCGACACGTTGCATGGCGTTGAGGGTCTTGGCCACGAGGTCACGGGAGTAGCGTGTCGGGACATGGCGGCGGGCGGCGAAAGTTAAGGTTGTGTCGACAACCATTTCTTTTCCGGCAGCTTTACGGAAGGCTTTTGTCCATTTGAGTTTACGGGGGTTACCTGAGAGGTTTTGTTAGACTTGAAGGAATGAGAATAGAGGTAAAAATGTCTCTTTTGATTGTGGGAGAGGGGTGTATGGGTGGGAGAAGCCAACGTTTCATCTTAAAGTTCTTATGACATTTACTTCTGCAAAAGCGGAATTCTTTTGCATCGTTGCGGACAAACATTATCCCGTGGCCCGGATATATGGGTCCGCTGCTGTAAAACCGTTCAGTTTACCGTTAGCGCAATTCTCAATCGATCATCGACATGGTAGAATCGTGAGAAAGAAGAAAAAAATCCATCAAAGGAAACAAATTCAACCTAAAGAAAGGTAGTTGCACATACCAAAAATGGCACTGAAAAATTCTCATCTCGAGCCACCGATACCGCTACCCTCGTCAGAAAATTGTTGAGAAAATCGCAGATTCAGCGATCGGTGACGGGGTAGGTTGGTGGTTGAAGTGGGTGAAAGATTTAAAAATCAGCACCCAACTCTGTCTCTTGGGAAAAAAAAGGACCGGCGCAAGACCATATGTCTTGGCGCCAAGACATAGAACCTATTCCTCCAAAAAGTTCAAACACCTCCGACAAATCTTACATATTATCGAAAACCCACCTTTACTTGCCGTACAACACGGCCAGACCTCCCCGATACATCCCAATAGCCATGTCTACCCCGATCCTAGTCGGCATTGGAATCGCCGGTGCAGGTATACCACGCCCTTCATCCCAGTTCTAAAACCTAACCGCCGCTAACACACCCCATAGCCGTCGCCGTAAGTCCCCGTTCACACCCCACCAACCCCTCCTCCCCACAATGGCAAAACTAATCCCACCCCAGGCCCGCATCGGCCTGCAAGCTTTCAAGCGTTACAAAGCTCTGGGCAGCGGCGCCGGCGCCTTCGGAAGGAATTTCTACAGGGGCGGCTTCGAAGCACGTATGAATAGACGAGAGGCGGCTTTAATTCTGCAATTGAGGTATCCCACCTTCTTCCCCTCAGCGTTTACTCTGCAAAGACTGAATGTACTGATGGCATGCGTAGCGAGAGATCCGCTACTAAGAAAAACATTCGCAAGCGACATCGTGAGATGATGTTGTTGAATCACCCGGATCGTGGGGGGAGCCCGTATCTTGCTGGGAAGATTAATGAGGCGAAGGAGTTTTTAGAGAAACATGGTTGAGGGGAACGGGAGGATGGGGTATTGTATAAATGATACGGAAGGGGAGGAAGAGGGTTATGAGGTAGATTCATTTGGGAGGCGTCTCTGGATCAGTATTGAAATTTGGGTTGGGGTGCGGTCATAGAATTGATAAATAATCTTCGCTCAATATGTTTTTTTTTGTTGGGGTATGTGTGTATTGTGTTGGAGTGATGGGTAATGGTTTGCGGCGTTGAAGTTGTGTTTGTCCATGAGTAGAGAGAGAGGGTATGTGGGGGGTATATTTAAAGGAGAACTTCCCAGTAAGAGACTTCAATACCCAGAAATCTGGTGTCCGCATCTATTGCTAGCAGCAGCTCCTAGGATGTCCGCAATTGCAGTTGCGATGTTTAGGTTGGATGGTGGTAGTTAGTGAGCACCCTCTAGATCATTCTGTTGGAGCGTCTTTTTCTTGCCCTTGGGAACCGGTTTGGTTTGGGTGTGTTAAAAAAGGGCTTCCTGGCTCCACCCTGGCTTCGCTGGTGACTGCCCAAATCTGACTTATGATATTATACTCTAATCCGCAGATATGCTGACAACCGTCATACAAAATCACTCGAATTTCCCAATACATATTGTGGATAGCCAACAGAACCTCGTCAACCCAACCCAACAGAATCAAACCTGTAGTATATTATATTATATAAGTGTGCATGTGAAGTTTATTCCACCCCTCTAACATACCTCCCCAATACCCCCCTCACGGCCTCCTCCTCCCTCTCCTCGTTCCCATCCCCAATCCTCCACGCCCTAACATCCTCCCACTCCCCCCGTCCAATCCTCTCCTTCTCCCCCATAACCTCCCAATTCGGGCTATGTCCACTCTTTAGCCACTTGAAGTCATCCACCTGATCCCACAAATTCTTGACACTCTCCCATTCTCCTCCAGCGTCCACATCTAGCGGAGCAAACCTGATACCCGAGCAATCCTCAATAATAGGCCTCGACGAGCAGAGCAAGTACACGTCAAGATTTTTAGAATCGTGCATGCGAAACTGCTGGCACGCGACAAGTACCGTTGTGTTGCTCAGTGAAGTAAGATGTATAGGTCCGTTTATGGCGCCAGAGAGGAAGAGTAGGGTGTTGGTGACGCTTTTGACAGCGGCGCTGGAGAAGAGTGGGGTTCTGGTGGTCGGGAAGAGGATGATACTGGTGGAGATGTCGGATAGTAAGAGGGAGGAGGTGGAGGAGGGGGGTTGTGTGTGGGTTATGTATTTCCCTGCGAGGCTAGAGATTATTATGTTATCTGCTTTTAGTTGGTCGGAGGTGGGTGTTGTAGATTCTGTTTGGGGTGTTGAAGGTGAGGAGGTGGAGGACCTCATGTCTCCCCCTATAGCAGCTGCGGTGTCTTTGCCTTTAGTCTTGAACGAGAATTTCTGCTTTGGTGTAATGGCTTTCCGGGTTTCTGATAGCTTGTCTGAGAGGCCGCGGATTTGCTAACACATCAGGCCTAGGGTCAGTCCATATCAGCTCCCACCGTCGGGGTCAGTAGCAGTAGAGAGTAACCGCGAACCCCAGAGTAGGACCGCTGATCGTAAGCTGGAAGATACGACGACGCATCCTTAACCACATCCGACAGCGTCGATATCGCAGCTAGACATCGATCGATAGCTTCCGGACGCTCCGTCGGACTTATACTGGGTAGCAGCTCGATTTGCGTTTCGAGAGCTAGACATACCACCGCATCGAGTTAGCTGGACCGTGAAAAGGAAAATGTAATTTGGGAATAGGGTTATAAGCACCAGCATGGGATTCGTGAAACCTTGCATAGAAATTCTGTTTAGTATTCGTCTCAACGTCCATTGAATTGGAAATTGTGTGCAAAAAGTGATTCCCGTCCTGCCCATTGCGGGGCAAAAGGTAGTGGATGGAGGGGTCCGTCTTGGCATACGTTTAAGTGCTGCAGGGACGCTTCGGAGGGTAACAAGAATAGTTGCTTTTAACTTTGCTATCATAACAGGAATTCGAGTAAGTTACTGACTACGGTAGTATCTCGAGTACCTGGATGATAAGAACTTTAATCAAAGCCCTTCGACAATTCTCTCCACCTCCCCTTGAGACACCCCCACAACTTCAATGCCACTCCTATCAACCTCCCTCCGGCGCCTCTCCCGGAGCACGATTCCAAAACTAACGCCGGCAACAACAGCTACCAGATCCTTCATTTCAACCCCCCCACTCAAGGACTACTACACCCCAACTCCCTTTGTCCACGAATCTGTTGGGGGAGGATGGCACTCTTGTACCCCCCAACTCCCGTCTTCCCCCACTTCCACACACTAACCTAGTTTGTCCAGACGATATATTCTCCCGCCTCCTCAAGGAGCGCATAATCTGCCTTAACGGCCCCGTACACGACGGCATAAGCGCAGTAGTAGTCGCCCAACTCCTCTTCCTTGAAGCTGAGAACCCCGAGAAGCAAATAAACCTCTACATTAACTCCCCGGGAGGCAGCGTGACGGCCGGGCTAGCGATTTATGATACAATGAATTACATCCAAGCTCCTGTCTCGACGATTTGCATTGGACAGGCGGCGTCCATGGGCTCGTTGTTGTTGTGCGGTGGGACGAAGGGGAAGAGGTATGCGCTCCCACATGCTAGTGTTATGGTTCATCAACCTAGTATGTTCTTCCTCTCGCAGTGTCTTGGGATGGGGCGAGTTTGTGGGAACGCGCTAAATAGTATATAGGTGGTGGATACACCGGACAGGCCAGGTGAGAGGAATTGAATTATTCTTATTATTATTTTTCTTCTCTTTTTCTCTTCCATTCTATGGCATTGAAAGAAGACTGATGACTAAGGGGAATAGTGATATCGCGATCCACGCGAAGGAAATTCTCCGAGTTAGAGAACGACTGAATATAATATACCAAAAGCACCTTACGAAACCCCACACACTCGCACAGATTGGTAAGAACCGGTTCCGTGACCACTACCTCTGAATACTGACAGCACCATCGCTTCTAGAAAAAATCATGGAACGAGACCTCTTCATGGGTGCCGAAGAAGCAAAAGAAATGGGCCTAGTAGACGAGATCTTAGTCGCCCGGAAGAAATCCTCGGAAGTTCCCTCAATGTAGACAGATTCGAACAAAATCTCTTCCCTCTATCTGCCACTACCGTATATAAATGAACCATCACCCATCACTATAGTTGTATATAGCACAATCATTAGTATAAATAAAAAAAGGAAATAAAAAATAATAAAAATGAAAACAAATATAATAGGTAAAATAAAGGGGAAAGGTTTATTACCATGATAGGGAATCCAGTATAGTACAAATCATCACTGTCATCGTCATCATCGTCCACTTTAATTTGACACCGCAACCTGATTACAAAAGAAACCCCAGTAAAAGAAACCTATGGAATGAAATGATTGTCGTTATGCAAGAACTCTGCCGTGCTCTCTTTTTTTTCCCGTTTCCCCCGCCTTCTCCCACCACCTCAACAGATATAGCTGAGAACTTAGATGCATGCATATATGTGTGTATGTGTGTACGTGTGAGGTTAGGGCGCATTAGGCATGTTGGCAGAAGCTGCAAGGCACAAATTCTTGCGGGTGAATTGGACCTTGTAGACAGGTGACTTTTTGGTGTAGAATACTTGGAGGTGATCAGGGCTGGAATCAAGCATCCCTTCGTTAGTCCGGCGTATCGGTAGAGAAGGGTTAGGGGCACTCACGTAGCGACAATCTCCGTCCTTTTGCGTTTATTAGGCACACCAGTCGTGGATGTACCATCAACCTTTGTAGCTCCATCCCCGCCAGGGAGCACTCCGCCACCACCAGCAGCGGGAGTTGCACCAACACCCTCCGGAGCTTCAGCCGTAGGAGCGCCAGTCCCGTACGCAACGTCCCAGCAGCGAACAGTATTATCCGCGCCGCCGCTGAGCAAGATTGTACCCTCCATTGAGAAGGTTAGCGAGTAGATACTGGTCTTACCATGGCCTCTCATAGTCTTCAGACGCTTCCCACTGGCGATGTCCCAGAGCATGATGGTGCTGTCTAGTCCTGCAGAAGCGAGCCACTTTCCGTTGGGACTGATAGCCAAAGCCCTGACGGGGCCGGTATGTCCGGTGAACAGACGGACGGAGTTTCCTGTCTGGACGTCCCACATGCGGATGGTCTTGTCGGTGGACCCGGTAAAGACATATGCAGAATTGGGATGGAAGATGATGGTGTCTACGTCGTCCAGGTGGCCGGCGAAGATGCGGAGCGGGTAGATGTGGTCGCAGCTCCAGAGTCTGGCTGTGTGGTCGTGGCTGGCCGTGGCGAAGTAGTGTCCGTATGGGCCAAACCGTACGTCCCAGACTGGACTGTCGTGGCCTTTATACGAGACTAGGGCTGTGTACGTGGCTAAGGACCAGAGGCGGACTGACTTATCCTCGGAACAGGAGAGGAGGTACTTCTTATCCGGTGAGATGGAGACTCCGTAGATAGGACCCGAATGTCCGATCAAACGCCTAGTCTTGGGAGCGGCAGGGACGTTTTCAGTTGGGATGATAGACACTAGGGGTGCGCCTTTTATGGAGAATATCCGGACATATGATTCTGCGAAGCCGCCCGCCGCGATCGTGCCATCCTCCGAGAAGTCAACACATTGGAGACTAAATGACAGCATGCTATTAACGCAAACATCCAATTCATGTGGATTTGGTAGCATACCCATCGTTAGTGTTATGAAATGTATACATGAGCACTGACGGAAGCGCTAGCGCCGGAGGGCCAGACAACTTCATTTTCTCCCTACTTTCCTTCACCAGTCTAACCTCCCTCTCGATGTCAACCCCGGTATATGGTGGTAAGGGGATGTGGTCCCTCATGGGGCTGTCCTCACTTTCTTCCCTCTTTATTTTTTTTTGGAATTCGTCCAGTAAACTGACACCGAAGTCGCCCCCTGCGGCATTCTCCGCTCCCATAGCATCTTCATCCAACGAACCCTTTTTCACGTCAGCAATAAAGTTGGGGGGCATAGGCAAGAGTCCAAGTTTAAGCGCTGGTAGTGGCGCCCCGGATTCTGAGCGTCCGGAAGTATGACCGGTGATTCCCTCGTCCTCACCCAGGATTCCTTCCTCCTCTCCGAACATGGTAGGGCGCCCTGCAGTAGTTCTCATCTCGATATGGTCGTTGATGATCCTAAGTATAACCCTTCCACCATTATCCTCAGTCTCCTCCAGAAAGTGCATCAAGAGATTAGACGTCGTCTTGGAGAAGTTGACCTTGTATTTGTTCTCGCGGTACAATCTCGCCAAGTGGTCATCGTCGATATGCTGCGGGAGGAAAATTGCTTTGAACTTCTTTAAATCGTGGGCATGGGCAGTGGCGTGTTCAGCAGAGTGCTCCCCAAAGAAATCCTGGCTGGGCTTCATATAGCCTTCCTTGACAAGCTGTAGGAACGAGTGAACAAAAACAGGGAATAAAAGCCTCCGCAACTCCGGCTATTCGTACCGTTAATACACAGCCTTCTTAAAAGCCCCGACAAAACTTGCGCGCAAAGAGAAAGCGGGTGAGAAGCAAACATACTTTGTAAATATCCAGCGAATTCTCTATCCAACCTTTCAAATGACCTGTCAAAAATCAATACGGTTAGCAATTGGGTCTTCAGTTGGGGGACGAGGAGGGGGGGAGGCGGCAGAGATCACTTACCATAAGCCTTTTCGTACTTGATGCTGGGCTGATCATCCAGGTTTGATAGGATAGGCCTCCCCTCGTGGTCTGTGTGCGCCGATTCCACACGGAGCATAGCTTCGGTCTTTGCATAGCCTTTCTTACTAAGGTATTCTATGACAATTTGATTAAGTGCTTGTGGTGAACCGGCCGCATGAGCTCCCGCTCCTGGAGTAGCGGAAGTTCCCTGGGATGCCATTGTGATTTAAAGAGTTGAGCCGTAACCACTGCGGATTGATATGTAGGAGTAACAGTATTTATTACAGGAGATGCTGAGCTGTTGTTGAATGCTTTCGGTGAATGGTTGTGAAGGCTGCGTTGAGTTTGGTGGGTTGTTGATGTGCGCGTTAGGAACAGGCGCTGTCGGTAAATTAGCACGTGACTCAGGGCAGGTCAGGTTGCGCCGGTGTCCCTGTTATCATACTCCCGTATCATGCCCGGTAGAGTAAATTACCGGTACTTGTAGTCTAACGGTGATACCCTCTTTGTCTTTACTATAGTCTAGACTACAAAACTATGCATGACATCCGAGAACTGGCCTTGGCACTGCGAAAGAAGAAAGACTGGTTTGAACAACTTGTCCTGAACATATCATAAGTGGAGGGCACGCATTCCCGGGAAAACAGCATTCAAAATTATCCCACCCGATATGCTTGATTTCATGGAGGACCAGTCCCTGGTTCCCTCGTTTTGCGGCCTTTTTGTTCAGTCCTGTGCCGCGGCTTTATAGTATTACACATAGTATCACTCGCTAGGCACTGTGGCACACCGACTGCCGCACACATGTCCAAACGTACAGTATCAACCGCTCATTTGTCCGGTGAATCAAGATTCCATTTCTCCCATTGCCTAAAAGTTATGGTAAAACTACAGCTTTACCTTTTTCGCTTGCTATTACCGGCACGAGTACCAGGCACCTCTGATTCTCCATCCCTGTGTTCTCGCTACCTAAACTCTTCCCACTATAGTTAGCCCCTGTTCGGTTACTTATTTTTATGACAACATATTTTTTATGATCACAAAAGTTGCAAACAACATATATGTTGCGGGGGGGATATGATTGTTCTGATTGGCCCAAACATTGAAAATATGGCATATTTTTGGGCCCGCCGAACACCTCCAGTTCAACCTTTTTCATGGAGAAACTTATACTATAAAAACCACTTTTATGGCACAAAAATAACCAACCGAATGCTATGATACTCAGAGTACTCAGCCACTACGACTACTATGACTACTAGGACCCACTTCAGCGGCACTTCCCTTGCCTTCGCTACTATAATACAATATCTCCCTCTTTTCGTGGAGTCCTACTGCTATTGACTGAGGTTGCCCACTTCTAATGTTGGGCAAACATGGCCAACTATGATAATATTATCATACTAGTACACTTTTCTCCCTTTCCCCTCTAACCAGTGGCTATGCTAGTACTGCGCCCAAGTCACTTTCGACTGCCCCAGTGGATCTTTCCACCTAATAGGAAATACAGCAGAGTTATAACCCTCAAGTTATTATATTTTAAAATTACTAGTACTCGTACTGTCTGCTAGCCATCTTACGAGCTCCCGGAAATATGACATAAATCCTGCTCAGCGATCAACTCTTATTCTGATCATTCTCAGTCCGCATGTCCATAGCTTGTCCACAGTACTGTTTTGCAGTAGCTTTCATCCCAGGTATCAGAAACCTCAATTTCTGCCGCGCTCTCCTCTCATCCCTTCCTCAATTTGATTGAGAGACTGGAAAATACAGCACTAAGAAATTACCTATGCATAATACGGCCGTTACCAAACTACACTTATTAGATTGAAGAAGGCTAAGGTTTTCAGTTTCCCAGCCCCATAGGACAAGATCCATCAATCCTCCCCCAATTCACAAATTGTTCAATAGCAACTCAAGATGAAGGGGGATTGAACTCTTGGGCTCCTGCTAAGTTTCACAGGGTTTATCGGCCCCTGGCATCCCAGCTGCTGTCCCAGGCAGGCATCTCGCGCGATACCACCGTGGGAACCAATACCTAACCCGGAGCTGGGTATCCTTCGATTTCCTCCTCCGGTCGAAGCCTAGAACACCTGTATCACCACACTATCGCCAAAACTGAATGCAGTATAGGAGTAGACGCATCTCCCTGCGCTAAGAAGAGAGGGGAATCATAAACGCTAATCAATGGTAGCTAACGACAAAATCCCTCGTGCGCAAAGGAATAGCCGGGCCGGAATCTCGATGGTGAAAGCGGTGGGTTTGGATGTGAGTAGTAGTAGGACGGTATTTGGAGGGGCTTTTTTGATTAGAGGTTCGTAGCTGTAAGCAGTCATGCAGCTGTGCTCAGGTGCAAGGGTATTTCGTGTCCGGACATCATACAAAAGTCCTCGCACCAAGTGTTGCTCGAGTAACCCACTTCTCCTTTCAGAAGTGGCCAAGATCTATTTTCGGTAGCAAAAAAATACTCACTGGTTATCACTCGAGCATCCTGACCTGATTTAATCTAGGTGCATATACTGTAGATACCACACCTGATGGAGGTGGTCACAACTTTCGCCTACCCCCTAGTACATTGTTGAGTGGAGAGCGGGAGAGCACTGTCACACAATGCAATATTCATTGGTTATGATTCACTCTGGGCGGCCTCTCGAGTATTTCTTTGAAGTGAAAGTCTTGATTGTTTCTTGACAAAAAGTTTGCCGAGTGATATTTTATGAAATACTTTGGGCAAGCCACGCTAAGATGGCTCACGAGAATACCCAACATAACATATTTACTTCAAAAAGTAGACATAGTGGTTACGCAGCTCCTACACTCCGCGGAGCAGTACATAGCTGTTCTGGCCGTAACTGGGAAGTCACTTTCGGGATCCTTACTTCTGGGGAGCGCGAATATCACCTTCGCACATGGCTCTGGGAAGGCTTGGATGGCTAAAATCACAGAATTACATGAACCCCATAACCACCAAAAAAAGTGAAGTTGAAAATTACTTGAAACTCAGCAGATCCAAACTCCTTGTGAAACAAGCCCAGAGTTTAATTTTTATAGCCTGAGATGGCTAAGAGGGAGACAAGGGGTAGAGAGGGAAAAAATAAAATCAAGAAAACATCCCAAATATCCTTTTTTTTGTTTGTTTCTTGTTTGTTTGCTCACAGACGGCGACCACGTCTACCACCCTTGCGACGAGTAGAGTCGGAAGGTGTGGGAGTGACATCCTCGATGCGGCCAATGCGCATACCTGACGAAACATTAGCGATACGAGCCAAACCAGAGGACAGTAGAAGATGTACCAGCACGAGCAAGGGCACGGAGAGCAGACTGGGCACCAGGGCCGGGAGTCTTGGTTCCATTACCTAAAAAACGAAACCATCAGCATTGCTATCCCTAAGAACATTTCCATCGAACAATCCCAACTAACCTCCAGTAGCACGAATCTTGATGTGCAAAGCAGTGACCCCAACCTCCTTGCAACGGGCCGCAACATCCTGAGCAGCCAACATAGCAGCGTATGGCGAGGATTCGTCACGATCGGCCTTGACCTTCATTCCTCCGGTGACACGAACAATGGTTTCCCGTCCACTGGAAGAAAAATTCAAAGGATCAATGAAGCGTCAGCCTCTACCCCCTGTAATATCTTTCTTCTTGTATATATATACACATATGCCCTCAGAATTCATGATTGGTTGGTTGAAACACACCTGAGATCGGTAACGTGGACGAAAGTGTCATTGAAAGAAGCGAAGATACGGGCAACACCGAAGACAAGTTCACCTGTTTTCTTGGCAAAAGGACCTGGAATTAGCCATCACCAACTTCCCCCATCTCCTCACGTAGTCTAGCTCCTCGGGGTGAATAGTTTGTTGGAAAAAGAAATTGGGTACTGACCTTCACGAATTTGGGGTCCGAGAGAGATGTTTTCTTCCTTGCGTTCGACCTTCCTTCCCTTAGGAGCCATGGCGGTTGTTTGATTTATCGTTAGTTTGGGATACCGGTGAGGTCGTTGGTGTTGATGTAGTTGCTGGATCGAGCGGTTAGAGCTTGGTGAGAAGCTGTGTGGGGTGGGTTATTGCGACTTGGTTGTGGATGGAAAGAAGCAGTCACACTAAAAAAAAGTTGGTTTAATCTTTTAGATAAGATCTTATCTCCCAAACTCTTACCCAGGGATGATCGGCACCCCTGTATCGTGCCAGTTCTTACACGTTAGTGGCGTAGCCCTAGGGCCAATGCCCCGATGGCAAAAATTGGCGAAACCTAGGGATGGCAGCACATAGCCCCCCTCTGCAGTACTCGTACAGATATCCAAACCCCAAGCCCAGATTTAGCCAACTTGATATCATAACAATTTGGATCACAGGTTGTCACAAGGTATAATATTACGAGTAGATTCGGATTTCAAGCAGAATAACACGAAAAAATTTAATTACGTTTTTCTAAAAAAAAAAAAAAGCCCAACTATTTTCACAAACGAAAACAGGGGAATAAGACAAATAGACTAACCTCATTACCTCCATAGTCCTTGTCCAGTCCAGATGAACCTCAAAAGAACCGGTTCAGAAAAATATGCGATAAGATAGATTATTCGTTTCCTCCTTTCCATCTTGTAACCCCACCGAGGCACTGCGCCACAAAGTAGCGCAAAAAGATTACATTCCACATTCTGCTTCAGCCGTATGGTGACCCACACGCATCATTGACATTCCCAGCAGATCTCTCGTTCTTCATTGCCACGAGCGCTTAGCACTGGACATCCGTGGAAGCTCTGGAGTTCATCAACAAGGCTACGATCAAACCGTACAATCCCAAGACTTCAGCGAAAATCAGGATCAAGATCATTCCGACAAAGAGTCTCGGCTGCTGAGCAGTACCACGGACACCGGCGTCGCCGACAATACCGATGGCAAATCCTGAACACAAGCAAGTTAGAAGTCAAATCAGAGGAGTGTTATTCTGGGAATAGGGTCTTACCTGCTGCCAAACCAGCAAGCCCGACAGAAAGGCCAGCACCAAGCTGTAAGAACCCTGTGTAGAGAGGGAGAATCTGATGAAGACCTGAAGACACCAGGACGGAGACGACGAGACCATAGATACCAATGATACCAGCCATGATAACGGGTACAATGTCTATGCCAGCACGTCAGCGGTTATGATCATACAACGAACACTTACACCCGCGAAAGAGCGAGATCCGCTGCGAGCCCAAAGAGTAAGTTTAAGCTCCGTAAAGACATACTCTTGACGATCAAGTCAGGTCTCAAAACACCCATAGCAGAGATACCGACACCGGATTTCGCGGTTCCATAACTGGCACCAAAGCAGGTGAAAACGATGGCAGCGGTACACCCCATGGCACCGAAAAAGGGCTATCATCGCGTTAGTATAACATACTCGGTGCTGCCAAATTTAAGTTTTTCGCGTCTAGTATACGTACTGCGTAGACAGGGCTAAAAGTAACGAAAAATGTTAGCAACCATTCCCTCTAAAACCTGTAAAGAACGATCCCATCTAGCAATAATTTGTCCGGTTTCCATGCTTTATGCCCGGACTATAGTTCACTGGTCCAACGCAAGTTGGTTCGATCCTCGCCATGAAAGGGGCGGGCAGAAGCGGAGAAATCGGGACAACAGACAAGCTTACCAAAGTTCAGAAGCCATTATATCGGTTTATAAAAACAAAAAAGTGTGGATATCTGGAAGCTTGAAGAGTAGTGTGTGCAGGTGGTTGGTTTTGAAGGCAAACGTTCGGTGGGAGACGAGAAGATGCTTGCTTGTGTTTTCCGGGGGGTTTGGTGGGTGGTGGCTGAAAGTTCAAGATTGGAAAGGCACAACAGATGACGATGTCCCCGTCTCAGAAACAATATGCACAAAATATGCAGGAAATCTTAGAATCACGGGTAGATGCCATCCGAGAGAATCTTATATACTAATTTACCCACTGGTATGTATGTTTAATACATATTTTCTCAAACGACTTTCTGGGGTGGGTTAGGGCTAAATTAACCTCCCGTATAAAGAAATCGCCAGAGCCGCAACCCATCGTATTCTATCACCAAAGGCTTCAACATTCACCAACCACCAGCGTAGCATAACAAAGGGCGAGCACCTGAGCAAGGAACCCTTTATCTCACTTTCCCACTATCACATCGCCTACTTGGAAGTGCTGCTTCTTCGACTACAATCCTAAAATGGCTAGCGTTAATCCTAAAGGTACGTTCTCCTACCAACGTCTATGTCTAATATATAAAAGCATCTGCTAACAAATATTTTGCTTAAAATAAAATATAGCTTTCCCCCTCGCTGATGAAGCCCTTACCCAGAAAATCCTCGATATCGTCCAACAGGCATCTCACTACCGCCAGTTGAAAAAGGGGGCGAACGAAGGTTTGTCAATTCAATACCTCCCTTGCCCCGCAGGTCTTTTGGCTAACCATTATTTTCAGCAACCAAAACTCTCAATCGAGGTATCTCTGAATTCATTGTACTCGCGGCTGATACCGCTCCTTTGGAGATTCTCCTCCATCTTCCCCTCCTCTGCGAAGACAAGAACGTCCCCTACGTCTTCGTTCCTTCTAAGATTGCACTTGGACGTGCATGTGGTGTTTCCAGGTCTGTGATCTCGGCTAGTGTTACCTCAAATGAGGCTTCGGAATTGCAGGGCCAGATTAGGTCCGTCAAAGAAAAAATTGAGAGGTTGCTCATTTAAGGTGCCTAGCTAGGTACGGTTCAAGTTGTGTAGTTGTGAATAGATAGATATTTCACTTGTATCATGAAAATCAACGTCTACTCTCCATCCTCTTTTCTAGTCTTATTACACTGAACCTCTAGGTGGCATGTAAATCCTATACCAAGCTTTGAATGCTCCACATGTCGGTTTGCTAGTAAGTTTCTGAGTCTTTTCCACTGCATAAACCCAGCCTTAGGCATAACGGCTTGTTGCTTCTTACTCGCCTCTTGCTCTCTTACTCGAGTGGCGTGCATGGGCGCATACGAATTAAGTAGATAGGTGACAATTCATGATCCATCCACACTTCAATCGGTCAACTTCTGATGCTGAAGAGTTCAATATTCAGACTGCAACATCACTTAAATTCAAAAGTTATTATGCCATGTATAACCTTAGACATAGGTATGGCTTAGTTCAGTATGTATTGTTGCTATGTTTCTATCTAAGGCCAGTCCATCAATCCAATCCAATACTGAAAACAATTCTACATAGCAGCACCAGAGATGAAGAACCACTTATCGATACTAGGATCAATAGGGGCAGGGGGCAGATTGTCTCCATGGGGGACGGGAGGGATTTGACCTGGGTCAACACGGCTGGGGGACCTGGCAACAGTCAAATTGGTACTACGAAATGTTCATTAGTGCAAGCTCTCCCGAAAAAAACCTTCAGGGGAGGGGGGCGCCACAGAGAAATTGTGTTTGAGTCACTTTGGCCAGTAATGAGTTTTTCCCATGCCTCACTGCATTCGCGGATGACGTCGGTAGCATATCTGGTTCCGGCATGTTAGAAAAGCTTCCAGTGGGGAACGAGGAGGGATATTACTCACTTCTTGTTCTTGCACTCACCAGAGAATGCAAATTGGTTCTCGGGTTTTCCATCCGGGATCTTGTAGATACGGAACCACTCGTTGGTGGCCCTCAAGAGACCAGGAAGATGGCGCTCGACATCCTCAATATCTAAACAATAAAATTATTACCAGTCCTCAATGGGCGCGGAAGTGAGATCAAACCATTGAGTTTAGGGACCAAAGGATCATTGACATCAATGACAATAACCTTCCAATCGGTCTCCTCTTCGTCCAAAAGAGCCATAACACCCAATACCTTGACCTGCTTAATCTGGCCAGTGTAACCTACAGTCTCGCCAATCTCACAGACATCCAGCGGGTCGTTGTCACCTTTGGCCTTGGTCTCGGGATGGATGACATTGGGGTCCTCCCAAGTCTGAGGGAAAGCACCGTAATTCCAAAGGTATCCCTTGTGTGGGAAGCAGTTGCGAACAAATCTTATCTTTCCCTTCTTGACATCTTGCTTGATCGGGTTGAGAAGCTCCTCCTTGGAAATCTAGCCATCCAAAAAACATTAGAGACGAAAGCTCCCTCATCAGATGCTTCCGGTAATAATTCGGGTATATACCTCAAGCTTTCCGTTGGTCCAGCGAGGGATCTCGACAATCATGTTGAGTATGGTCTTCTGCTCACTAATTGGGAGAGTTAACACCGGATAAAAACCCCTCACTGAGACACCAAAAAACGGGTACTTACTTTGCATAGAGAGGGATATCATGGAATGGCGAAATTGGAACACCGTCTTGCTCGATATACACCCTGTGCTCTACCCCCCCCCCCCCAAATCTCAATATTAGCAAACATAACCATTTTGGGATTTAAAAGACCACCAACCCAAAGTGTTGGGCTGTCCGATTTTCCTCACGGTGTAAGACATCTCAGAGGGTGCGGAGAGATGTCGAGCGATCTAAAATCATTACCAAAGTTATTCGTCTAAAGCCAAGTAAAACCGAGCCATTGAAGGAGAAGATAGTAAACATACTAATGCACTTCTTGACGACAGTTTGAGTGGTTGAGCGCAAGTCGAATGGGACGTGTGTATTAGGGAATGAAGGAAGAGAGAAGTGGAGAGTATGCGGGGTAGTAGCATAGGGATATTATATATCCTCAAGCACAAACCCAAGACGGGACAGTGCGGGTGGACAGGCTGAGGGGTATTTTTGCCTTGGCGCAACAGGGGCAGATGTGGACGCAATTGCAATTCAATGTTGCTCAAGTAATAATTTTCTGTTTACTTTTTTCTTTCCCTTAATACTCGTATAATATCATACCATATCAGATTCTTGTTACCGTTGCTTAGTAAAGCTATTGTTGATAAGAGCCAGCCCTGAAACCCAGTCTGTCTGTTTCGCAGTAGGAGAAAGTGATAGTTTGTGATGGATACACTAGTATCCTTTAGTCAACGAAAGAAAGGCTATGCTTACGAAATATATCGATATACCCCTTAGGATGTGCTGTATCGTAATTTAATTAGATGGTACTCACACTGCTTAAAGATATTACTAGGGAGACTTTCCGCGAAAGCCTAACAGCACTCCCAGAAGGCACTGGAAGCAAACACGTCCTAAAAGACTCACGGAGGCCTAATTCCAGGGTTCCCTTGGACAGCCCCTGGAACGGTTTCCGTACGGCACAGGGGTTCTATCATAGTGGTAATAATGTTATTATATTGACTGGGGAACGCTTTTGAGTATACTGTCATCGACACAGGATATGGCAACATCTGCACAGTACATTTACAAGACACAACCTCAGGACATAAAAATACATAGTATTATATCATGCACCTCCCCTCCCAGCCCTCCTCCTAACCTGTCTCTTTCTGGCAATTATCCTCGCGGCCTTTGCCTCCCCCTCATCCTTTTTAACATTTTTGCTGGGACTCTCTCTCACATCTGTTGCCATCTCCTCCCTCTTCCGCTTTCCGCCGCTAAATCCCTTTCCTCCCCCTCGAGCCTTCACCGCTGCTTTGCCTTTGGCAGCAAACTGCTTCTTCTCTTTTGTAGATTCCAGAGGCTTGGCTTTCCCTTCGGCGACTAGCTTAGACCTCTCTCTCGCCTTCTCTTCTTTTTCCTTCCGCCTTGCTACAACCTGTGCATTCTCGATCGCAAATTCAACGATCAATTTTTTCTTCTCTTCAATTGCGGGGGGTGGAACAGTTCCTTTCCCCTTTCCTTTACCGGCCCCTATCGCCCCCCTTCCGGG